ACATAACATAACATAACATAACATCACGCCTTTTATCCCCGAAGGGGTAGGCAGAGGTGCACATTATGCCACTGTACAATGTAACACCCACTTTTCACTATTTATGTTATGAGTCCCATGTAATAGGGGGTGAGCCTATTGCCATATACCGGGCACAATTCCAGACTCCGTGCTACTACTGAAATTTTTTTTAAAAACCCAGTACCTAATACTTTGTATGGTAACTTTTATTAAAAATATAGGAAAATGAATTATTATTATAATAGGAAAAATTCACTGTAATTATTCATAAGGATACATTGTATTAATTACCACAAATGAGGAAAACATGAAAGTAAACAACTTTCATGTTTTGTCATACCCATGTTTTCCAAGTTTGGTCTGGGGTCGGATCTACTGTTACTGGTCTCTCAATAAGTCTATTTCAAATCATATCCTATGTTAGGGCCCTACCTATATATAACTGAAAAGGACGTTTATTTTTAATCCTCTGGTATTAAACTTACTAAAGTCCACTACCACGGGGTAAAAAGCAATGAATGAAATCAAATGGACAACTGTAACATCAATGGTTAAACTCATGTGTTACGAATAACACGAATTTTTAAGTCCTGTAAGGATAACTGTCGTAATATTTTTATTAATTTGTAGTTAGGTTTGGTTTTGCACAGAGACTATTCTCTTGAAAATTGGCAATTCATTAGTATTGTTATTGCAATGTGTTTATTAGCTTTAAGTAACAGGGTATTGAAAAAATTCACCTCTCACCTAACAAAGGCTGGTAGAATAACTATGTTGTCATTCTTTGGTCAAAAAAACTGTTGATTGTTTCAGAATTCAAACAATTTATGTTCGGATTGGAAGTACTAATTCCGATAGTGGTGGATTGGAGTACGAAACGTCTGTATTCAGTTCCCATCCATTCTACGATGATGAGACCAGCGATTATGATGTTGGTATAGTGACCGTAGCTGAAGGAATGACCCTGGATGGAACAAATGCCAGAACGATTAGGATGGTTGGATACGGCTCTGATGTTACCGATGGGGAAACAGTGGTTGTCACTGGCTGGGGGGCGACTAGCGTAAGTTTTAATCAGAGTTGATTAAAAATTCTTGCTATAATTTAATATAATAAGGTTAATGTCTTCTGTTTGTTTCGTTAATCATATGAATTTTGGAAACGTGTACCTAATGACAACACTTAGTTTCCCTTTTATTATTTTTAAGTTGTTTCATTATTCTATTGGTTTATTCTCATGTAAAAAGGCGTTGATTTTATTTTATAGGAAGGTGGCCCTACCTCACAGACGTTAAAGGTTACGTCAGTTCCAGCTGTAGAAAGAACACAATGCGACGCAATCCTCGGAGGTATCACTACCAGAATGTTCTGTGCCGGCTTTACTGAAGGCGGGAGGGATACATGTCAAGTAAATATTTTAGACAATTTTTTGATGGACTATATTCTCGTGGATTTTACCCAGATTACCATAAGGGTACCTCGACTACGCTTTATACAAACATATAATTCCACGTACACATGGACTTTTAATAACAATTTGTGGATCACACAAAGAGTTGCTCCGGGCAGAAATCGAAACCGCTGTTCGTTGCGCGGGAGCGGCGGCCGCATCAACCGCACAGTCTTGGCTATTCTTGATTAAACTTAAACAAATACTTTTAATTTTAAGTTTTATTCAAAGAAAGCTTTTGTGAGACATACTAAAATAATTATTATGTGTTACGCACAATCGTCGCGCAACCATTTGCTGCATTACTCCTTATGATTATGAGCCCCTAGTATGTTTTGAAACTAGTCGCGTTCCTCATCAAACAGTTACGTGTATAAGCTGTTGAATATGATAATTATTAATGTATGTTTTTGTTAACTTAGGGAGATTCCGGTGGTCCCGCGGTGACTGGCGATTTGCTGGCTGGTGTTACATCGTTCGGTTATGGCTGTGCTCGCCCCAATTCTCCAGGAGTTTATACTCGCATTGGCAACATAAATGTCAGGGCATACATTGCTTTCATGACTGGTGTTTAAGTTCATAAACAAGTGAATTCCTTTATTACTTGATCATTATTATTCTTCGTTTTGTTTGAAATTAGTTCTTATTTAAATAGTAGGATATGCCAATTGCCCATAGTTTTGTTACTACAAATATGACCTAACAGTGGCTGATTAAGATTTTTTTTAATGAAAGTTATTTCGGATTATGAATACTTCCGGATCGAGTTTAAACGAATAACTATAATTTTAATTTGTAAAGTGTTATTTATATTCTTAGCAATGAAATTAAATCAAGCTGTAGTTATTTAGATGGAATTCACTATTTATTGTTATTATTTAATAATCTTAATAAAGGCGCTGTTTACTTTATTTTCATGATTTATTGTCGCTGTGAAGGCCAGTATGCTGATTATTACCACAACCTATAACTAATATATTTGTGGTAACGACATTAAAATTTGCGCAGGTTGGAATTTTCCAAATTCCTTGTACCGAGTGCACCTACCATTATTCATGACATGACAAATGAAATTTTAAAAGTAAAAATCCCGACATTCGTTATTAAAAACCCCAATTATTCGTTCGAACATCAAAAAGTTTACATTAGACGAAAAGTTGCCAGCTACTGTCACATCATTTACAAAAAACAAAAAAAAAAATGCAAATTTCGAACCAGCGTAAAGTGAGACTGGTAAAAAGCAAAACTTTTCTCTGAATGACAAAACTCGCAATGAATACTAACACGGAATCCCTTAGCATTTAAATGAACGAGACCTACCGAGTTCCCGTGTTTCTGAAACTTTTTTAATTTCGTCGAAAGGAACCAGGTGGCTAGCTCACGTCAGTTTCAATTCGACAGACAATCCCTGCCGCTCCCTCTTCGCTGAATTCTTGTGATAAGGAAGAAGTACTTTTGCAACAGTCGCAAAGAATCGTTTCGTTTTAATTGAGATTTCACTGTTAATTGAAATTATGTATTAAGAATAAGATGAGCTCCTAAAAGTATACCTAGATAACTATTGGTTGGGCATCGTCCTTTGTTTAAATATTGTGTAAACGAAACAATTATTACATTGACTTCTAGTATTTTATTAAACAATTGAACTAATTAGGTATTTATTAACAGTAAACTACTGGTACTATCAAATAGTTATCCAATTAATGCGACGTAGATGCATATTATTACCCTAATATGGTAATAAACCATTTGAGGAAAATACATTTCACTTGTATATTTTTCCGTGTTTGATTGCTATAATAGCATCTGAATCATAATAATTGTCATGGTATTTACCATAATCCTTCCTTCCTGTGACCTGTTGTTTTGTTAAATCGATAGTTAAGAGAAATTACTCGCATGAATAGCTACGTGAGGAATGTAACTTCAGTCTTGAGCCTAATTCTATGACCGATATGATTTAAATTGCCTCAAAGATGAAACCTTTATCATCATCAGTCCGTTTTTGTCTATCTATCTGTCTGCAGTCCTTGCGTATATTGTTACTCCACTTAGCTGGAAGGTGGTCTACACTAAGTTTAGCGCTGTCTTCATTTTAGAACACATATTCCCCAATGGTTATCTGATCACCAACAGATGTGACTGGCCTGTAGCCTCTGCAGGCAGTGCTTATCCTAAAGATAAAACTATGTTTTGTTTATAAAATAAAACAAATACAACATTGTCAAAAACAATTCTTCAGAACAAAATTATTCTCTTACAATTCACCAAACTCTTTGTTCTACGTCATACTTTATTTTGGAGTGTAGTAATGTATTATTAAAGAGTAACTAAAGATGTTGTAGTCTGCAGTAGGCCTTGTTTAGTCGCTACTGTTTCAAACTGGACGAGACGAGAGATAAATGAAAACGTAATTAAGCACAAGGAAAAGTTTTTGGAGAGCGTTAAAAAGTTCTTTAGCTTCGGCTGCATTATTTATTTCTCTCTCAGGGTAATCTTGTTATTTTTTTTTTTTGTATTTTTATTTTTTAATTTATGCCTTGTCTGATGCAGCGTGGGTGTTGTTAACTACTTGTTGGAGGGGTTTTATTTGCAGAATTTTAATTTCGTTCTAAAGTTCTGTTCGTTTTAATGCGCATTCGTAATGTCTATTCTATTTTTGTTCGAATCAATTCTGGTATTCGAAGTTTTTATATGTAAATGACAACGAATAACTGAAATAACCCTCGGAATTTTATGCAGTTGAGAACAGTATATCATATTTATGAGACTCAAATCATACACGAGAAAAAAAATTGTATTGCGTTGTAGGACAAAGACACATCTGTCTACCCTTTCGAGGATAAAACCACTTTAAATGTTGTAGTGTTGATATAAAACTGTAAACATTTTGAACTACATAGAAGACAATTATTTATTTTACGAACGGCTTATTTGTAACAATGTAGTGAAAGCAGTCGGTAGGTTAACTTATGTTTTAGGTAATATTTTTATGACTTGTATCCTTGTGTACTGGTAGTGTTTTAGATTTACAATTAACTCGTCGAGTACCGGTTTTGTAGACACAATTATAGAACAATAGGTTGCGGTCACCGGTGACCGCTTGGTATTTGACAGTTTAATTGTCCATTTACTATTTTAGTGCAAAGTAATAGGACTGAAAATCTATTACAGTTATTTAGTGATAGATGATGATATTTTTTAGTTTATAGAATTGTAGAGACCCCGTTTGGGATACCAAAATAACAGAGTCAGTTATAACAACATTTATGACAACGCCATCTAACGATTTAGTGGTGTACTTAAATGTCAATGTCAGTTCATTTTGTCACATTGTCCGTGTCAACTTATACTTTTATTTAAAAATGTTTTATTTTTAATTGTATTCCAATTACATACTAGTGAAATCATACCACTTACGTCTAAATATAGATTAAAGGAGAAATAATCCTATTACAAGTGGTTAAAAAGATATCGTATTGCCACACCGCACCGCAGCGTAGGGCTGAAAGTAATCCGGACGAAACAAGAAAAAGGTGGGATTTAATTGCAAAACAAAATTACTGTGTTACTAGAAAATCCGAGAGCTACGGGGAGAATAAATGCCGCCGCAGTCAACCCTAACCCTTTTTTATTTACAGTTTACGCTTCACATTTCCATTACCATGTAGCGAAGTATTTTTACCGTGAGGTATTTGACGAAAATGTAAACAACGCGATTAGATTGCGGGTTTTTCTACCTGGCGTCCTGATTTGTTTTTGTTTCTTGTTGAACTTTCTTACTGTCTTTAAACACAGTTCCTGTTATTAGGAAGTTTTCTTAATGTAGGTATCTATATTCGGTTGCTCTAGTGATTGTCGCATGGAATGTATTTTGGTCGCTGTGTCAACTAAAACTACCTTTAACCGACGAGCATGCACGAAAAGATTGATGACTGTTGATGAAGCGAAAGAGGTATGTAGGAATCGTAGCAATTAGCGTTCCATATATACGTTCTCTGCCTACCCCCATGGGAGAGTGGCGTGAAGTTATGTATGTATGTATGTCAACTAATATAATATGATGCGTGTACCTACACTAATTATTGTCAGTTGAGGAGTTAAGATGAATTTTATTATTAATAATAATATTGTGAAAAATTATTTATTTTACAATATGATGGTAAGATTATTATACTAGTATATTGTCTTTTTATAAAGGTTACTTATTCACCTGCTACTTCCATCTCTACATTACTTAAAGGTTAACTGGGAGACAATGTCTAAGATAAGTCCACCTTTACACACTTGTTATAATAATTAAAATTAAATAATAAATGAAAAGTAGATATTTTCTGTTGCTCATTGGCGGTGTTCATAAAGGTGTTGTTCCTTTCCGGACTCGCCTACTTTGGGAAGTATTTGTGTCGTATAGGCCGGGAGCAGACGTCGGCGTGTCATCACTGTAATGACAATTTGGAGGATACGGCGCGGCATACGCTCGAATAGTATTGTACATGGGCAGAGCTACGTCGTGAACTGCATTGCAGTGGTCGGCGGGAATTATCTCTCATTGCCGACCGTAGTGCGAGCTAAGGTTGACAGTGAGAGTGCATGGGATGGAGTCGCTTTCTTTTGTGAACGTGTCATGTTGGCAAAGGCGGCTGAAAGGGAGAGGGAGGCGTCCAGCTCTCTCCCTTCCCGCCGTAGACGCGCCGGCCGTTAACGCCGCGAGGTACCTGATCTGCGACCTCCATAGGAGAGTCCTATGGGCGACTGATTAGGGGAGTCAGTCGTCCGCTATACCTATAGGCGGGAGTAGGTGTTACCGTTGTGTTCGACGCACGCCACTCAAGTAAGGGAATCGCAGCTTCTGAGGGCTGCTACCTGGTGAGACCCGCCGCAATATAGCGATAGGTCGAGGCCTGCTGTGTGCGGTGAATCCGCAATGGCATCCCGGGTCACGGCCACAGGCAGAGGATAAACACCGCGGTAGTTTTAGCCGGTAGGAGTCCGGTACATCGCCCCGTCGTCACCACGGCGTGGGAAGTTCATGGGGATTTCCATCGCGTTCTAAGAAAAAAAAAATGTACTTAATGGATAAGTGCAATCTATGTGGCTGTGTTATTACAATGTTAATTATAAGTTTGTGTATTGAGAGATAATATTATCGCATTGGGTGTAACCTATTAGGATGTGTTGTAAAGAACATAACATTGAAATATATGAAAGTGTGTATAAATAAAAAAAATATGTGAAAGAAAAATATTGTGATAGGATGGAAATTAACTAGTCGAGTACTGGTTTTGTAGACACAATTATAGAACAATAGGTTGCGGTCACCGGTGACCGCTTGGTGTTTGACAGTTTAAATAGGATGGAAATGATTGGGTAAAAAGGAGAAACTATCATATTTTGCTTCCACTAAGTAGTTCGAGTTTGTCAGAAAAAAGAAATACAGTACTTTACAATTTACATCTCTTATTTACAATGTAGTTAAATGTGGAATATACAAAATAACTTACCTAATACTTGAATACATTAATTGTTAACGTAACCACTATGCACTGAACATGGCTGCATTGTGTTAGACCTTTGATCCCTCAATAATAAACTTAAAGCTTCGCAACCAACGCCCATTAATATTTTCACAAATTCAAATGTATTAACTTGCCAATGCTTCCCACGGGTTAGATATACGTCGTGATTTCACCTGTGTATATATATTTATATTTGATGGGTCGACGTTTAAACACTATCTCACCTGGTGGTAAGAGATGATACGGTCTACGATGGAGCACGTCGTCCCATAATTATCATGTTCTCATAATAACATAATAGCTTCAAAATGTGTCCGTGTACATACTCAGCACGGAATATTAAAATTGGACTAAGATATTTTTTTAAACGTTGATCCGCACTAGGATTTTCTTCTGTGTCGTGGGTGCGTTTACAAACATACTTATACATATGACACCCAGACCCGAAACAACAATATATGGTTCACACAAAGATTTGCTCCGTGCGTCCATGCGTGGATAGAACTCGCGCCAATCGTGCAGTCAAACAACATCATTTGTTGTGTTAAAACATTTTCCTGGTAATGCTGCCTTTTAAGACCTACAACAGA